TTACTTTCTTGGAGCAATTGATAAGAGCTAAAGAGTCTTCACAGCCTCCTTCTCTTGATTCCAAAGCTCCAGCAAAGGAAAATCTTGGAAATCGTGAAAACCGTTTCAAGTTTAACCGGTCACAAAAATTATCCACCTCTGCATTATGTGCGGCAACGCAAGAGGGCAAGTGTGTCATTTGCTACAAAAACCATGGTTTGAAGTCATGTGTCACTTTTCTGTCATTACCTGTGAAAGAAAGATTCAGAAAAGCAACGTCTAAAGGCCTGTGTTTCCGATGCCTTGAACCTGGTCATAGAGCCGAAGTGTGCCAGAAACCTCCATGCAAGCATTGCCAAGGTAGACATCACAGTCTCCTGCATCAGGATTCAGCTCGTCCTCCCTTGGAAGAAGTCAAGGTGGAATCAGCCCCGGAATTACTACCCTCGTCGTCAGGTCCTGCTTTGCCGTCCTCAGTTGTGGCAAATTCTGTTGCAGTGAGCTCAGGTGGAAAAGTGATCCTGCAGACCATACCAGCTATTTTGTGTGGATCAAATGGGTGTTCAAAAGTTGTGAGATGTTTCTTTGATCCTGGTTCTCAAACGTCGTTTGTTCGGCAGAGTGTAATTGATGAGCTTGGTCTTGATGGGAAGAGTGTCAAAATTGCTGTTTCTGGATTTGGTGGAGAGGCCACCAAGAGCACTTTGCGGAAGAGAACTGCGTTTACTGTGGCACCTATTGACAAATCTGGACAGCCTCAATGTATTGAGGCACTTACTACACCAGTAATATGCCGGCCAGCTGAAGCTGTGGATATTCATCCAACAAGATGGTGTCACCTTCGAAACATAGCATTTCCTGAAGAATTCCCTAGAGAGGAACAAGAGATTGATGTGCTTATTGGCTTGGATTTCTATTATTCCTTTGTGACAAGAGACATTGTAAGAGGGGGTTCCCGTGAGCCAGTTGCAGTTCGCACAACTTTGGGTTGGGTCTTCTGTGGGCCAACAGGTGGTCATGGCCAAGAATGCACTGTGTCTATGAATGTTCAAATTAGTGTTGAAGAACAATTGAATGAAACACTTCAAAAGTTCTGGGATTTGGAGTCCATTGGTGTCAGACTTGCTGAAAGTTCAATTTCTACTACTCATGCAGAAGATGTGGTCTTGAAGAAGTTTAAAGAGACACTAACATACAATGATGGTCGCTATGAAGTATCCTTACCATGGAAGGAAGATTGCATTTCATTGAAAGATAATTACCGGCAAGCGGAAAGTAGGTTGTACAATCTAGAAAAGAAGCTGCTCCATGAGCCAGTGAAAGCTGCATCGTACAGAGAAGCGATTAACAAGTATGTTGAGAACGGTGTTGCTGAAGAAGTACCTTGTGATGAAATTACACCAACAGATGGGCGTCCGGTGTTCTATCTCCCTCATCATGCGATCATCAGGGAAGACAAGCAGACAACCAAGACAAGAGTTGTGTTTGATGCATCAGCGAAAGATAGCAATGGTGTCTCTCTGAACAGCTGCTTAGAGCCAGGCCCAGCATTACAGCCAGATTTGGTCGGAATTCTTCTGCGTTTTCGAAAGAATTATGTTGGTATCATGGGTGACATAGAGAAGATGTTCTTGCAGATTCGGTTAAAAGAAGAAGACAGAGATTCACACCGGTATCTGTGGAGAGATTTGGACCCCAAGGCCACGCCTAAGATTTACAGAATGACAAGGGTCACATTTGGAGTTGTTTCCAGTCCGTTTCTTGCCATTGGCACTATTCAAGAGCATGTGAAAAGGTGTAAAGAAACATTCCCTGTTGCATCAAATGAAATCTTGAGGAACACTTATGTTGATGACTTTGCTTCAGGGAGAGACAATGTGCAGGAAACGCTGAAATTACAGCGAAGTGCTACTGAGCTTATGCAGAAAGCTGCCTTTAATTTGACAAAATGGTCAAGCAATTCATCTGAGCTTATGGAGGCCATACCAGAGAGGGACAGAGCAGCAGTTAGTCTTGTCAGCCTGGAAAGTGATCTAGCAGAAGCACATCCAATCACAAAAGCATTAGGATTAAAGTGGAATACACTTACTGACAACCTTGTCTTTACAATTGATGTGGACATTGTTAAGTCGAGATCAAAGACAGTGTACACTAAAAGAAAGGTGGCGTCTTTAGCAGCAAAGATATTTGATCCGATTGGTCTAATCGCACCCTTTTCAGTGAGGTCAAAATTAATTCTTCAAAGCTTGTGGACCAAGGGTGTTGGATGGGATGAGGAAATTCCCATGGAAGTCTCATCGAAATGGAATCAGTGGGTTCAAGAGATTTCTGAACTTGGACACCTTCAAATTTCTAGATGTTACACTGATTTGCCATTAGGTCAGAACCCCAAAGTAGAGCTACACGCATTTGGTGATGCGTCAGAAGTTGCTTATGCCTCTGCAGTTTATCTGAGAGTTGTTTGTGAAGATGGAAGGGTATCTACCAGTCTTGTGATGTCCAAGACCCGAGTGGCTCCTGTAAGGAAGATTACCCTACCGCGCTTAGAGTTGATGGCTGCTGTAATTACTGCTAGACTTTGCACCTATGTCAAAGGTGCAATAGATTGTCCCATTAGCCGCATTGTTTGTTGGACAGACAATTCTTCAACGTTACACTGGATTAGAGGAGCAGCCTCACAGTGGAAACCATTTGTTGCTAATCGTGTTATTGAAATTCAGTCGTTGCTGGATCCCAGTGTTTGGAGGTATTGTCCAGGACCGCAGAACCCAGCTGATCTACCTACCCGAGGTTTATCTGCAAGTCAGTTACGAGAGAGTCATTTGTGGTGGAAAGGACCCTCTTGGTTGCAAGAGTCCGAAAAAGATTGGCCCGAGGATTTAAGGTCAAAACCCTCCAGTGAAATTGTTAACCCAGAGAGGAAGAGTAAAGCTAGTGTCAGTTGTGTTGTGCAACCCAAAGAGCCGTTTATTGACTTCACAAGATTCAGCAAGTATAGTCGCTTGCTAAGAACTGTTGCTTGGATCAGAAGATTCGTTAGCAACTCAAGAGTGAAAGAAGAGGAAAGAATTGACAGCCCTTTAACTGGTTTAGAGATACAAAATGCAGAAGAATGGTTGATATCTCATGTACAAGAAGCAGGTTTTCCTGAAGAAATTGCGTCATGTAAACAGCATGGTCCAGTGAAGGACAGCAACCTTGCCAATTTAAACCCGTTTATGTGTCCGACTAGTCATTTTCTTCGTGTTGGAGGAAGAATTCACAAGTCACTGTTGCCAGAAGAGGAGAAACATCCTATTATCCTGCCTTCTAACCATCCTGTTGTTAAGTTGTTAATTGATGATATTCACAGCCGTGAACTACATGCTGGAGTTGAACACACTTTGTCACTTTTGCGACAGAGATTTTGGGTGATCAAGGGACGATCGACCGTCCGTCAGACACTAAGGAACTGTCTAATTTGTCGCCATTACCAAACAAAACCCTTTGGTCAGCAGATGGCACCACTTCCTGAAGACAGAATTAAGCCTGCACCACCGTTCACTAACGTGGGTCTAGACTTTGCTGGTCC